CTGCCTATTGATAAAAAGTTCTCCATGATGCCACAGGGGTTTCTCCAAAGTAATATCACCAAAGGGTTATTATCATTGATGGTAATGACCTTGAAAGAGATTTCACGAAAGAATCAGCCACAGGTACCTTTAGATCCCATTACAAAAAACAACCCTGAAGGGAAAGTAAGGGAAGTAATGTTTAGTGTCAGGTCAATTAATTTCCCTTTCAGAGTAATCATTTCTTATAAAAAATAACAATACTGTTATGTGTTAATTAGTTCTGATGGTGTCTCAGAGAGTTAAACAAGGAGTTAAGACATTTTATAAGTTAGACAAGGAGTTAGAACATTCTGTAGTCATTTTAATAATGAAAAAGCCAAGGTAAAAGTCATTCAAAAAATTAAGTGACTAACAAAATATCCTCTTATGACATATTTGTTTGTGTCTTGCCCATTTTCTATTGGGTTCCCTGTCTCTCCTCTGTTATTTTGTATATTTGTTTCTTTTTATTCAGTGCAGGAATCAGTAATATATATCACAAATATCTTCTTCCACTCTGGCTTATTTTTTACTTTCTTAATGTTAAGTGTGTTTCCATAAATCAATGATGCTAACTTTAGTGTTGTCCAGATTATCAGTCTCTTCCCTGATGGTTATTGTTTTGTTTTTCCTGTGTAAGAATTTTTGCCTAATGATGTGAAGGTTTTTTCCAAGTTACCTTTCACACTTAGTTCTAAAATTTACCTGTAATTGATTTTTGAGTATGGTGAAAACTATTCCTTCAGTGTAGGTCTACTGTTTTTGTCCCTGAACAAATTATGATTCTTCTTACCTGAAATTATTTTATTTCAAATTCAAATTTAAAAGGCACTTTTGTTTGGTATGAAATTTTACACTGGTGATCTTTCATTTAGCACTTTGAAGATGCCATTGCATTGTTTCTGCCTTCCATTATTTTTGCTGAGAAGGCATCTCTAAGTCCTGTCATTGCTATTTTGATGTACACTAGATAATTTTATATTTTTTCTTTGACATTGGTTTTCAGCAGTTTTACGACTGGCCTGACTGAAATTTGCTTTGCATTAATTCTGCTTGGAGATCAGAGCACTTTTAAAACAGTAGTTTGATATCCCATTAATTTGGGGAAATTAGCCATTATATCTTAAATATTGCTTTTGCCACATTACACACTGGATACTCATATGTCTACTAACTCTTTTCTATATTTTTCATCTGTACTTTATATTTTCTTCTAATCTAGTTTTCAGTTTACTAATCCCTTCTTTGGCTGTGTCTAATGGCTGCCAAATGCACCTACTGAGTTAATAACTTCGATTATAGTATATTTTCCAGTTCTGGAATTTACATCTGACATTTTATTTTTATTTTTATTTTTTTTTTATTTTTTTTTTAAGATTTTATTTATTTATTTGAGAGAGAGAGAATGAGAGAGAGCGAGTACATGAGAGGGGGGAGGGTCAGAGGGAGAAGCAGACTCCCTGCCGAGCAGGGAGCCCGATGCGGGACTCGATCCCGGGACTCCAGGATCATGACCTGAGCCGAAGGCAGTCGCTTAACCAACTGAGCCACCCAGGCGCCCCACATCTGACATTTTAAATAGTATCTAGTTATCTGATAAACTTTTTTGCCATGGAAATTCCCCAAATTGGCATCTAATTCTTAAACATATTAATCACTATTTTAAAATTCTGCCTATGATATCTAGATCTCTAACATGTCTCTATATGTTGTCTTATTCTCTTGGTTTTCAGTGATTAGTTCTTGTTCTTCTGGAATGCCAGGTAATTTTTTATTGAGTGCTGGACACTGTGTGTGAATAACTGTAGAGATAGCTTGAGGCTCTGGGTGGTTTTATCTCGTTTTGGAAAGGATTTATTTTTGCTTCTGACAGGCCAGTAGGATTGAGCAGAGCACTGCCATATAATCAGGGATTGAATTGATTGAAAACAGGACTTCAGTTTTTTTAAGAGCTGGTCTATATCAAGTTCATCCTTGCCCCCAGAATATAGCCCTTCAGATGCCCACAAAAGACTTGAGATGCTTTTCTAGGCACCTCTTCCTTGGTTAGCCCTGATCTCCACGTTTTGCCCCTCCCCACCCCTCAGGCCTCATAAGACATCTGGAGGCTCTGTTCAACTTGTTGGCACATGTGGAATGTCAGACTCAGCATTTTATACCTCCTCAAGCTTGTGCTGTATTGATGGCTCTCTACTGAGTGAAAATAGTTTCTTAAATAATCTCTCCAGTGTTTCTAACTGTTACTGGTAGAAGGGTTAGTCTACATCATGATAATTCACCTTAGGCTGAAATCCCTTTCTCAGTGTAATTTCAGTTTGCATTTCTTTCATTATGAGCAAAGTGAATCATCTTTCACATGACTACAGGCCATTTTTATTTATTTATTTTTTTTATGAACTGTCTGTTAAATTTCTTGCTCAACTTTCTACCCAGAATCTCTTTTTTAGAAGTACTTTAAATATTAAAGATATTAACCCTTCATCTATAATAAAAGGTGTAAGTATTTTTCCTCAATTTATAATATTCTTCTTCTAAACATTTCTTATGGTATTTTTTCCATCCAAAAACTTATTATGTTTATATAAAATCAAATATTTCCATTTTTTCCTTATTCTATTTTGAAGCATAATTAACCAAGATTTCCTGCTCTGAGGCTTAGAGAAATCCATCAGTGATTTCATCTGTAATTGTGCCTAGAGGAATGTGTTGATGAGAAATTGAAAATGGTCCACTTTCTACAATTGGTGGAGTGAGAAAGAATATGATATGGTTTTAAGTCCAGTTGGAAGGTTCAAGTTTTATTTTCCCTTTCCAAACCTCATCCTCAGGAACTAATGAAAACAACTTATGGGCACAGTTACTTTCACTTGTAGGCTTGGGATCAATCGGTCATTTCTTTTCTTCTGTTATCCTTTTCCTGATTTCTCTCATCTACTTTCATCTCATCAAAGTTACTTCTACACTGACATCTCGCAAATACCCACATGCCTATTCACAATTCGCTTCCTCAGGACTGGATGCAAAAGCTTGTTTGGCATCTCCACTTATGTGGCTCTGCACTTCAGACTTCAAATCTAAAATGGCTTTCTTCATCTTCCCCCACTCTGCTTGTTTTATATGTCTTCAAGTACTAACCTTCCTACCGTTCGTCCACCAGGTTCAGAGATTGGTCATCTTTGAGTCCTACTTCATGATTGTCAGCTTCAGTAAATCATTGCCAAGAGTGCAAGTTCTGTCTTTGAAGATACCTTCCTTTGAAGAGATTATAAACTGGATCTTTACCATCCTTGCTTCATCCTCACCAACAGCACACCAAATTTAACATGCTCCAAACTCAATAAGTACTCATGTAATGAAAATACACCCAACCTTCCACTTTAAAAAAGTATAGAAATAATAAAAATTTTGAAGTTATGGATTGCCAGACCTTTATCTGTATCTATATTTGTAAATGTCCTTGGTCTTCAAGTTGTGAAAATATAATAGATATTTATCTAAGATGGAAGATGTTATTGTCCTTTAGGCTATCTGGGAAATTTCTCACAATAAGAAAAAACAACCCACTATTTACCCCAAAGATACAAAAGTAGGGATCCGAAGGGGTACGTGCACCCCGATGTTTATAGCAGCAATGTCCACAATAGCCAAACTGTGGAAAG